ATCTGTCTTTGCCTTTACTCTCATCAATAAGGAATTTAAAGCCATAGACTCATTACTCTCAAATGTCACTGCCCATGAAAAAAGCAAATAGAGAGAATGAATAGACTTCATGTTGCAAGTGTAAATTCAGATTCCCTGCACAGAAGTTACTTTTTTTTTTTTTTTTAATGTTTGCCTTGAGAGCAGGCTTGACACTATTTGCTGAAAATCTGCCTGTTTTGCCTCACCATCCCCACAACCAACAGTTGCACAATTTACGCAGTTTAATTGAGCTGCAAACAGTTACATCCAGCTCTCCCATGCTGCTTAAAATACAATACAGCAAAACCAGGAATGACTGCAGTAAGGATCAAAGAGAGAGGATTACAGGAACAGAGCAGACATCTGCCTAGGAGAATCAGGGCATCTAGACTCTAGGGCATTATGAGGTAAAACTCTTAACATCTTTTCTGCCATACCTCCAAGCAAAGATGAGCTGGAGAAGGTCAGAGCAATTCACCTGACTCAGCCTCCCACCAGACAAAATAGGTTGCATTAGCTTCTTCATCACTTATAAAAGGCTTCTTTATCTAATGAAGTGGCTAAGATACAGAACAGAAAAGGGAAGCTCTCAGAGAAGAGAAAAGAACAGAAAAATTTCAGGAGGCAGGCGGGGTGAAAGATAATGTTTTGAAGCTTATAGCTATTTTTCAGAACTTTTCTATCCCAGGCGGGACACAGATTGCCCAGCAAAGGAGAAGAGCACGGGTGTTTATGAACTGGATTTATTCCCTGCAAAGTTTGCTGCCAGTAATAATTCATCTCAAGCAGCAGTGTTTTGAAACAGTACTGCTGAGTTGTGCAGATTTGTGATGATACTCATCTCCATACAACTTCAAGAGAAGTTGCCAGAAATGCAAAGGATTTATATTTTCAGTATATACTTGTGAAATTAAGCTTTGATAGAATGAAATTCACATTAGGGAAGGATACAAGTTCTGGGCCTGCTTCCATCTATATAGTTATTTCAAGTAACTCTGTATCTTCCAGAATTAAATTCAATCTCTGAACTATGAACTTCCCTGAGATTGATGCTTTGCTCTTTCTCCTTATGACCAGTTCTATCACTTAAAGTAGAAAAAACACCTTAAATACTGGAAAACAACACAAAAAACCTGGGATCAAAACTCCCATTTCCCTGGATTCAATGAAGCCGTGGTGCAGAGAGGATGAAATCAGGCCTCACATGTTTAATCCTTTAATTTATAGAGGTAGGATTGTCTCACTTCAGATTTAATGTTCTGTGGACAGATGTTTTTTCCAAAGAACAAGAGTTCCTCACACAAGTAGTGGAAACTGAACATCCTCATATTTAAAAGGAGGTAGCTTGTACTTGGACACCTGCACTACTTCCACATTATGATAAACCAGTGTTTTACTCCTTGTCCTGCTTAAAAATCTGGAAATTATGTCACTCACTTTCACTCTGGTACATGGCCACTGATGTGCTGTGGTGGGACAACTAGAAGGTAAGTAGTCAGAAGACCAAATTGTGTGCATAAAAAGTTAGCTGCAAAGACATGATTTTCTAGGATCAGACTTCTGAATAGCAACTCCTGCAGCTCTACACAGTTGTGACCATGCATGTTCTATTCTTCCAGCCACCTGCCACCACTTCCTTCCTGACCTCTCTTTGCACAGTCTCAGAGATAATCTTCAGCATGAAGGCTGGCTTTTCAGGCCTTCACACAGCACTGAAAATGACCTTACAAGCAGGGCTTGGTATGTAGTTGTTCTCTGCACACTAAAGAGAAGAATAAATTATGCTCTCTGTCCTCTATGTTTGTCTGTCGGTCAGCCCCTGACAGTAAGTTACAGACCCATGGACAGTTTCAGAGAGAAGTCAGGGCAATATTCCAAAGGTATAAAGCTCATCGGAGGTTTTGTGAGTAGCAAGGATCAGGTAGAAGAATCCTAAGAAAGTCAGCAGTGTGAGTTCAGCTGTTATTTGTTCTGTCAACCCAAAACATGTGTCCTAGACAGCCAACATGCAGGTACCAGCAGCTCAGAATCTACCACCCAGCAGATGCTACTTCTTGCCTAATTGCCACTTAAGAGAGGTGTGAGGCAGCTGGAGAAGGCAGGCATGGTTACCACAGTGAATAGGAACTGGGGGCACTGTAGGGTATGGGGGCAGACACAAGGAGTAAGAGAGCTGGAATTACTACTGTGGAAAAGAGTAAGGATAGGAGACACAAATTTGCAAGACGGAGTTCTGCAGTTTCTAGCTTAACATATAACAGAGTTTGTGCTTGGTACCCAGTATAACCTGAATAACAGAGGAATCAGACTCTAGCTGAAACCCTCACCTGTGATTTGCATTAACAGTATGTGTCTACAAAGCAAGAGGTATGTCAACAAATATAGAACTTGTATTAGCCTAGGGCAGATGTGACATAAGTCCAGATCCTTTTCTGCATTAATATTCACGAGTAGACATCTGGGCTCACAGAAATTATGGAAAGGTCACCCTGCAGGTTCTGGCATGGACATCCAGACAGATTTAAAAATCATTTCTTACCAACAATCATGTGGTTGCAGACATCACAGAAAGTGGGTTTTTTGAAGATGTGCTCCTGGAAGATGTGAGACTTGTTGTTTTCTGGCAGCTGCTGGGCTCTGGTGGGGGAGGACACTTGGGTCTCTGAGCTGGGGAGCTGCCCAGTGCTTGTGCTCACCTCCGGCATCAAGTCTACTTGCAGTTTCACATCACTATTGGTCCTCTGGAAGAAATTGTCTGCACTTTTACTCCGCAAGCTTTTGGTCTTGAAGGAGAGTGATCGTTTCAGTTTCTGCAGCTGCAACAAACAAATCAAGTTACAATTACTGCCTTTCCCTCTTCAACAGCAAGGCAAGACTCCTGATTTTGGAGCATGCTGTTGACAAGCCAGCTTGAGAGCCACTGGCAGATGGTGAATGACCTGAACAATTAAATTTGCTGTAGAATTTAACCAGCAATTTTAGAGGAAAGAAAACTGATCCCAATCAGAAAATAAACTACATATGCTTTCTGATAGCCGCTTGAAAGCAAACTTGATAGCTCTAAGTAATGTTTCTGTTTTTTTTCTTCCAGATGTGACAACAAAGAGATACTGCAGAGAGTAGTACACATTGGAGAATATATCCTTTGTATTAAAGCATAAGAGAACATAGAGTATTATTCAGCCTTGAACGGTCCTTAAGCAGCCTGGAAAGCCATTTCAGGAACACCTGTTACATGGCAGTACAAGAGGAGTGAATTCAGTAAACATACTTAAATATATTTAAATTTCTTGCATTTGGCAGAAACAGATTTTATGCAGTTTTGACTGAGAAATTACTGTTTTGTTTTTTTAAAGAAAAGAAGGCTAAGGAGCAGTAACAGTGTAATTAACCAGCCAATTGATAGTTAACATGTTAATTAATACTAGTTAACACACATTCATATATATTCTTGTATTGTGTATCGACTGTCAGAATACTGAACACCACAAGGATTAATAATTTGAATTTGTAAACTCAAACTCTTTACCTGTAAACTGTCTTGTACCTCATCAGAGTTCCTCTCATCCTCTCCCCCTCAAATTTATATAAGGCTGAGAAAGGTGCTAGGTGAGGCTCAGAAGCTGCCATGATAGCAACTACACAAATTTACAGGTTTGTCAACTCCAGTGGCCCACAGGTAGGTCCCAGGTAAATGGAAAGCCAGCTTTGCATCCCCTTCATGCTTGCCATCTCTGAAGTGTAATACCTCTGTATAGTTTTTCACTCAGTGTTATTCCAACCACTGCAAAATCATTTTAATCACTGCTGCAATTCTCTGGGCAAACGTGATGTAACAACTGAAATTTTCCATGCCGCTCAGGCTGTCTGTGGTAACCAGCAGGA